CTCTCCAACACTTGTTGTTGCTTGTTTTTTTGATATGTGCCATTCTTACTGGTGTAAGGTGGTATCTCATTGTGGTTTTAATTTGGATTTCCCTGATTATAAGGAATGTTGAGCATATTTTCCTATGCCTGTTGGCCATTTTCATTTCCTCTTTGGAGAAATGTCTTTTAAGTTCTTCTGCCCATTTCTTGACTGGATTGTTTATTTTGTTTTTGTTGAGTTGTGTGAATTCTTTGTATATCTTTATGATCAGTCCCTTATCAGTTTACTGGAGTGCAATGATTTTTTTCCCGAATCAGTGAGGCGTCTCTCTGTTTGGGCTAATGTCTCTTTTGCTATGCAGAAGCTTTTCAGTTTGATGTAATCCCAGGTGTTTATGTTTTCCTTGACTTTCTTTGCTTGGGTGATGAGTCTTTAAAGATGTTATTGAAATACATTTCTTATAGTGTTTTACCTATATTTCCTTCTATATATTTTATGGTTTCAAGTCTTATGTCCAGTTCATAAAGATTAGGAATTCTATCTAGGACATTTTGAGTTTGAGATGTCTATTAGATAACTGAGTGGAAGTACTGAATGGACACTTGGGTGTATTAACCTGTAATTTGGGACACAGATCTCGTGTGCAGGCAAATACAGATCTGGTTAGCCGCATAGAAATGGTTTTACATTAGTGGACTGGAAGAGATAACCAAGGGACTATAGACAGGAATGAGAAGAGTAGGAACAGGGCCAGGGGCACTCCCATCTTAAGAGGTCTGGGAGCAGAGAAGGAGCCAGTTAAGGAGGCTGAGAAGGGGCTGCCAGTGAGGCCAGAGGAAACAGGATAATGTGGTGTCTTGGAAGCCAAGTGAGGAAGGTGAGCTGAGGAGTGACTCATCAGCTTGCCAAATGCTGAACAGGTTTACTAAGGACTAAGAATTGACTGTTGGATTGAACACTGTGGAAATTATTCATGCCCTTGACAAGAGCAGTTTCAGTGGTGTGCTGCAGGTGAAGCTTTAATTGGATGTGTTCAGATGATATTGGGAAATAGTGAACGAAGACAACTATTACGAAGGGGTGAAGATGTAGTGGCTATCTAGTGGGGAGAACATTCCTGACAGATGAAACAGATGTTAAAAAGGCCCTAAGGCAACAGTGAGGGTAACTTGTTAAGGAACCACAGTGAAGCCATAGCTGGACAGTGAGCAGGCAGAGAGGGTAGGGGACTAGGGATGAATGATCATCTGGAGCTCCCTCTTGACCCCAGAATGATGTGATATAAGTAGAAGGGCTAGGGAATGCAGTCTTACACCAGGCACATTGGTTCCACGATACCTTCAAATATTTATATTCAAATATTGCACATGGAGATGTATATCACATGTATCTGTGAAAGAGATTTGTCTCAAAGGATAGTAAAGAATTCGGATGATAGCATGAAGGAGAAGGGAAATTATAGCATGCGGGAGAAGAGATTGTATATATAAAATAATGCACATATATATGAAGATAAGAAATAACAGTGATCGTATCCTCATAGAAATGACCTAGTGAGTGCAACACTGCTGATATGGGAGACAAGGGTAGGAAGGTGGTAGTGGTATTATTGAATTAATGTGAGAGGGAGAGGTCTGGTGGGAGAGGAGAGGGACTGGCTAGAGTTGCCACAACAAAGGACCACAGACTTGGTGGGTTAACAACTTATTTTCTCCCAGTGCTGGAGTCTTAGTTCTGAGATCTAGATGTCTGCAGGACTGCTTTCTGTTGACACCTCTCTTTTTAGCTAGAGGAATTCTTTCTATGTCTTTACATGGATTCTCATGTTCCAATAAGGCCTGTTGTATTGGATTAGGGCCTATCGGTATGACCCCATTTTACCTTAATTACCCCTTTAAAGAGGTAACCAAGTGACAATCTGATATACAGGGGGCTAGGATTTCTCCATATGAATTTTGGAGGACAAAGTCCAGCCCATATTAATCATGTGTGGTATCAACTGGAAGGCTACATACAGATGCAGGTGCTAGTGGGTGGGTGAAGCAATTCGTGGTGAGTCTGTGGAAGTTCTTCTCTGATGTCCTTAATTTTCTGGTGAAGTAAAAAGCGAGTGAAGAGTGCAGTGTGCGGGGGCGGGGTGTAAGGAGTATGAAGAAAGAGAAGTTGTGAAACAGTAACTTAGAAATGTCTGAAAGCTAGGGGATGGCAGACCAAAGAGTGATTACCTGGCAGCATTAAAAGTCGGATTTAAGTTCATGGTCATGAATTTAAACTAAGATTGTGATGAGATTGTGTATTTTCCTCCAACTAGGTTTAGCTGTGTGTGTTCAGATTCCTTCAGGCAAATTTGGATTTAGCCAGTTATGATTTTGCCAGAGAAACAATGCAAAGTGAGAGAGGGGCAGGACAGTGAGGAGCATATGTATGTGAGTGATTATAAAGACTGACATGACATTTGAACTAAGGAAGGAGGGAAAAGAAGAAAATAAGAGAGCAAGAGATGGTAAAGAAAGATGCAAGAGATGGTAAAAATCTGGTCGGACCAATGGACTGGAGATACTGGTGAGGCTTAACAGTACCAAAGGGAGTCAGCTGGAAAAAGAGGAAGTGATAATTATATGGAGGAATGTTTGAAATTGATGTGATGGAGGAGACATTGAGATTATTCTATAATTGCTATGACAAGGCCTACGGCACGGATGTTTGAGTTAGTAACACACAGGGTCAAGGACAATGTCATGGGAAATTTCCGATGATCTTCATTTTCTATTGAAGTAAAAAGCGAGTGAGGAGTGCAGTGCAGTGTGCGGGGGGTGGGGGGGGTGGGGGTGTGTGTAGGGCGTGTGAAGAGAGAGAAGTTGTGAAACAGTAACTTAGAAAAGTCTGAAAGTTAGGGGACGGCAGACCAAAGAGTCAATGAACTGAAGGAGCCAGTGTGTCTGAATGATCATTCTCGAGTTCACCAGAAATTAAGGCAGGATTACTACCACTGAAAGTTACTGTACCAGGAGTGAAGGTCTTTGAGAAGTAAGGTGTGTGTGCATGTGAGTGTGTGTCTGAAATTTGGCAGATGACAATAATGATGGCTAGTCAGTGATACCAGCTGTCAAAAGTGTGAAGTTATTAGGGAGATGGGAGAGTAATGGTCTCAAGCATCAGCAATAAGATGCAAAGGAGACATTTACCCAAATTTAAGGCTCTGTGGCATAATGATGGTGGGAAGAAAAATGGGCTCCTTGTGAGTGTTCCTTAGGGAGCATAGAATCCTCAGGGAAGAGCTGGTTTCTGTTTAAGGGAGGGCACATTCAGAAAAGAGGTTTTATCAATGGCGCATTGTGTGTGAGGAAGTAGGGGAAAAGCGTGAGATGTGAACTAAAGAGGGGATATGATCACGGCTTTACGAGGGTTAGTATGTGGGAGTGGAAGGGTGTTGTGGAGATCTTGAGGTTCTTGTGACTGGCACAAATTGAGATGGTCATCAGCAGAGGAGTTCTAACAGCCAAGGCAGATAAGGGTGGCAGGATTTTGAAGTCTGGGTTAGGGAGAGTTGGGTGGGTGTGTGGGGCTTCCTGTCAACCTCAAGTGATGTAGAAGCTCAGTCTTAGACGTGGAGTACTGGTCCACACAATATTCCATATTGCTCATGGTAACAGAGATCATGTGACTCTAATGATAGGAAAATGGACTAGAAATTACACATCACTTTCAGGAGAGGACTAAATGGAAGTGGGGTGATGGTGCTGGAAACCTAAATTTTTCTGTGTTATTCCTTAAAAAGGATAAAGTAAACATACTCAAATGTTAAGTACATTCAAATATGAGTGGTGGAAACATTGCTGTTTATTATATTTAATGCCTGGGGCATTGGTACTCTTTAAATATTATTTGTTGAGTGAATGTGCCTTTCTCTGTTAAAATTGTCTCTAAAAAATAGACAAAAGTCTCAAATTAACACAAGGTATTACGACAGCACAGAAAAGGGAATGGAGAGAGTGGGAAAGGCACGAGAAATCATTGTGGAGAGAGTGATCGCTGATCTTTGTAGATCGCGATCTATACGAGCCATATGCAAAGTATGGGGTGCAAGTGAAAGATACAGTCCTATGTCCAATTTAACCTTAACATGCTGAGGTTCTGGAGACTATCTAGGAAATGACCTTGAACATTTAGTTCTTTCAAGTAATTGTCTGATGCTCACTTCTCTCCCCTAAAATAGACACTGGGTGGTGCTGCTGTCCAAAAATTCGGCTCTATCATGGATTCATTACTTCACTCTATAGACGCATTTCACTATTGTCTCCTGTGGGCCAAGGGAACTGCTCAGGATTGGGGACATAAAGATAAGTGACCACAATGAGTTCTTCTCTGATTACCCTAAACTGAGGGCCGAGTTCAGTGGCTTAGAAAATCGAAAATATGACTTCTAAATAGGAGGGTAGCACTGACAATGAAATGTCTAGTTGTGGGTGTAAATGACTGAATCGCCCATCTTTTCCTTGAGAACCCTCTTCATGACCCGTGTAGGGATTAGAACAGCACCGCTTCCAAATCACTGTTTAATGGTTTCAGCGTACATAGGCTCTGATGGCTACAAAAAGCTGAGAGTTTGCTCCTTCAGCCTGCATCTTGGGATTCCAGACGTCCAAGGCTAGCTGGGCTGTGTCTGCGTGTTTAGAATCCCTGTGGTCGTGAAGGAGTGAATACACTTGGGAAGAAGAGAAGTGAACCCTTCCGACAAAAGGAGTGGGAGAGACGAGGGAGGCATCAGCGTGGGCTTGCAGAGGGTCCGGGGGGCGGGGGGTGTCTGGCATGACGTTATCAAGATCCTGTGCAGGGAGTGGGGTTCACAGCTGAGCCAAGACAGGGAGTGGGGTCCATAGCTGAGCCCAGACGGTGGACTCGGCCCTCAGCGGTAAAGTGGGGGGAGGGGCGAGGAGGCAGGCCTCGAGGCCTGCGGCCAATCGGAGAGGACGGGGGCGGGGCCCGCGGCGGGCCTTATAAGCGCGGGGTTTGGCACGGGAAGGCCCACATTCTCCTGTGTGCGGAGCGTTCTCGGTGCAGCCGTCGGCCTTCCACTGGTTTCCGAACCTTCGGGTGAGGACTGGCGGCTCCGCTCGAGCCAGAGTACCAAGGGGACAGGCGGGCGCGGAGGCCGCGGGGCGGGGAAGGCGTAGCCGGACTCCGGGGAACCGGCGGGGTCGGGTGGCGGGGGCGTTTGGTCTCGGGTCGCCTTTGTCTTCCGTGGTGCCGCCCGCCGCGCGCGAGGTGGATTCCTCCTGGGAGTCGGTCCCTGGGAGGCTCTAGGGGGCGGCACCCCAGAGCGGAGGGTCAGTGGTGGCTGCTGGTGGGGCTGCCCCTGAGTGCTCTCCCCTCCCAGGCCGATGGGTTAGCCTGAACGACCAAAATGTAAGCAAACTGCTCCCGACAAACTCACACACCCCGCCCCGTTATTATTTAAAGGTTAATTCCAGTTTTCCCAACTCTGGAGACTGGCCTCTGATTGCTGTCAGTGGAGCGTTTTCGGGAGACCGCGAAGGAGGGGAAGTATATTTGGGACTTCTATCTGCCTGGGGTCCTTTTTATTCTGCCCTAGCTGTGTCTCACCCTACATGGGTGGGGCCCTGCAGCACGTGAGAGCTCCGCTTTCCGTCTCTGGGGTCTCCTATTGTCTCTTCTGGACAAAACCGGAACGGTCTCCTGGCACCTCATCTAACCTCATCGCCTCCCCTCTCCCTTGCAGAGAAAACATGGTGAAATAAGAATCAGCTCTACTCGATTTACCCCAATCTGCTGAAGTTCTGAGTCTGGTCTTAATTAGGTGTGCCTTCTTGGAGCGTTTATAAAACAGTGCCATCAGGAGCAATTATGATAGTGCGATTAGTTTGGATTAAATCCCTCCTCATATTGTAGCTGAATCTACTGGCTTTTGGCAGATAAAATGGAAAGAAACGATCCCAATTTATGGTACCTTTTTTGTATGCTGCTCCTTATCCCAAGAAACGCCGCCCACCTCCCTCCAGTAATTGACTAAAAAATGAAAATGCTCAAATAGTGTTATCTCCTATTAAACATTCAATAGCTGGTTAAACCCAGTCTTTATTTTTTTCTTCTTTCTATCTCCTCTTGTGCTTCTATCGCCTCCATTTTACAGAGTGGGACATAATTCACTCTGGGTTTGCAGAACATCTTGATTTCGTGTACATCTTGAGTCAGTGGCACTTACTGTCTATCAGAATGGGGTAATAATGTGGAATAAAATTATTGTAATAAAAACATGACTTCTGAAATGTGTTCTTCTTGAAAATCAGGGGAAATACACATTGATATCAAATGTGAGAATTTTGGCTATTACTCCTTAGTTCTGATAATAGTTCTATCAGACAGGTTTTTTTTTTTTTTTTAATGTGTTGTGTGTGTGTTTCTTTTAGTCAAGATGAGTGATAAGCCGGACTTGTCCGAAGTGGAGAAGTTTGACAGGTCAAAACTGAAGAAAACTAACACAGAAGAAAAAAATACTCTTCCTTCAAAGGAAAGTAAGTCGTGGGGTTTTCTAGTGGAGACAGTGGTGAGAATTGCTAGATTCAGTAAATAAACTCTTCTAGTAAGTTTTGCCACAAAGTAAGCAATAATTAGAGTGCCAAAGTACTTAATGCAATGTTGAAAAATTTCAAAATAATTGCCTTTATATTTGACTTAAGTGGTTCTCACAAAATAAGCTCTAATAGTAATGGGGATTAAGAAATGGTTTTGTTGGAAAATTACTAAAAAGCACAATACAACCAATCTTGGAATGTTGGACTTTACATAGAAACATCTTAGTTTTGTACAATTTTTGTATAATTGGCAATTTTCTGCACCTAGCAATTTGGGTTTGTGATTTTATCCCTAAAAAGACTGTAATGTGCAGGTTTGGCTTTCTCTACCTGATGACAAGATAAGGTGGGAGAACCAGTTTAAGTCTTGGGTATAGTCAAGCTTCCCAGGGAGGAAGGGATTGATTTTGCCTTCATGACATTAGAATCTGCTGGAGGAATTCCAAACCGAGGAGCATGTTTTGTTATGTCAGCATTATTTAAAAGCTCCAAAACTAGTTAAAATTGGCTCAATTACTTCCTAATTGTATGGCAATAGCTAAATCTGAAGAAATGCTTCACTTGTCCATCAGTCTCACAATAATCTATGGGAAAAAAAGATTTCTATGGGAAAAGACATGCAGTTGATGTCAATTCTAGTGAGTGTTCAGTTGCACACATATTCTCACCCCCCTATAGTGAGGATTTCTGGCTAGTGTTATGATATTCTAAATTTAAAGCAGGTGTGGCAGTCTTCAGAACTTGGCAAGGAACTCTTTTAGAAGAAACAACTTAATCCTAGGAAAATAATCTCTAAATGAAATTTTTTGTTTGTTCCCCCCCCACCCCACCCCCACAGCTATCCAGCAGGAGAAAGAGTGTGTTCAGATATCGTAAAATGGAGATCTCTTCCCAAGAGCAAATTTCACTGTTGCCTGAGTGTCTTGGTTTGGGGCTTGTTTCTTGTAAACTTTTGTGTTGTAGAATTTAGGCATCTTTCCTTTGGATGTGTTCTCACCCTTACTACCTGGCAAAGACGTCAGGTGTAGCCAATGTTCCCTTATATTCATTTTTAAACTCCAGCTGCCAGATGCTACCAATTTCTCCATCAGTGACCTTTGTGTGTGTTGTTCTTGCACCCCCAAGTGATGAGCCACTTTTAACTTTCTACAGTGAATGTCTCTGGTACTCTGTAATCTTCACAAAGTGGCATGCATTTGCAGCTTCTCGTAGTTTCTTTTTCATTTCTAATATGAGAATAAAAGAATAAATATAATCATGTTGCGACTCCTGTGGTCCATTCTTGGTCTTCTAAGGAATAAAAAAACACAAAGCTACTCTTTTCAGCTAAACAAAGTGGTTGAAGGAAAGCTGCTTTAGCAGATTAGTCACATAGGAAAGGTACTCCCCTGATCAGATCAAGTGGGTCCTGACTTGGGGATTCTAGCTGCTTTTTCCCTAGAGTTGGAATCATAGAGATGGAGAACCTTGGAGGAGTTCAAGTAGACTAACCCTCATCAGAGATGAGGAAATGAAAACAGTATCTTAAGTGATATGCCCCCTCCCCCATTCATATGTTGAATCTATAGCACCCAGTGTGACTAGTTTTGGAGATATAGGGTATTTAGGATGTAATTAAGGTTAATTGAAGTCCTAAGGGTGGGATCCTAATTTGATAGGCCTGTGGGCCTTGAAAGAAGAGGAAAAGACACCAGAAATCTTCCACCAAGTGAGAGCACAGCAGGAAGGTGGCTGATTGCAAGCCAGAAGAAGAGTGCTTACCAGAAACTGACCCTTCTGGACCTTTATCTAGGACTTTTAGCCTTCTGAACTGTGAGAAAATAAATTTCTGTTAAGTCACCCAGCCTATGGTATTTTGTTACAGCAACCTGAGTTGACTAATACAATAAGGAATACATATAAATAGGCAAGTCCTAGTTGCTGTCCTTAAATAATAGGCTCATCAGTTGAATTTTATAAGAATCAGTCACCTATAATACCACCAATCAGAAGTTTAGCATGTGAGTGTATAACCATCCAGACCGGAGTCTATTAATATACATCACTTTTTCTACAGAAAGGGATTATGTACTTGTAACCTCAAGTATTATCTTAACATCCCTTTCTAAGGGTTGTTATCTTGAATAATTGCTGGGTTTACAGGAGGTGGAGGTATTTTCTTTGTAATAGCATAAACTTCCATATGCAAAACAAATGGGTCAACTCTGATCAAATGTCAGTGAGATGACACAATCATAGGACTTAGTATAGCCAGAGGATTTGAGAGTTGGAAGTAACCATGTTGGTCACCAATACCTTACCTCTTGCCTGAAACGATTAGCCAATAGTCAGTCAGCCCCTGGCTGTGACAGTCTGCTTACATTGCCCAAATTTGCCTGCTGTAAGTTCTACTCAGTGGTCCTAGGACTGCATGTTCAAGACCCACAGAGAATAATTCTTTCTCCAGTATTTGAAGTCAGCTGTTATGTACCTGCCTCTATACCTCCATACCTCCAAGTCTTCTCCTAATAATTCTTCCCAGATCCTTTGCATCCAAGTTACACAGATGGGGAAACCATCCTGACTGCTAATGTGCTCAAGTTTGCTCACGATTCAATTTCTTTACATTCTGATTCTGTCATCCAACACATTTTGTTCTCCTTTCAACATTGCCATTTGCAAATTTGAGAAAGATGTTGTACATCCATGATAGATTCAGCAACCCCTGCTTTTGTGTACTAATCTAGCACAAGATTAGGCTCATTTCAAAAGGCCCAAAGAAAAGGTGAGTTGGGGTTAGATAATAGCTCCCATTGTTCAGTTGCTTCTGGTAATCATCCTTCTCATTAATGTATTGATTCCATTCTGAGCAGTGTGTTAAACTGAGTGGGAGCAGATGAGAGGTACATGGCAGCAGGCAAAAGACATTTAGCTAGATGAATACTCATCCAGATAAGACATGAGAAAAACAATAGCTCACCTAGAGTAACTTTGTACTGTATTTTTAAAATATATAATGTAGGACTGCTCTGCTTGTCAGTACATTCACTTGCTTATTTTACCAGAAAGAGATTTGTTTCCCGCAATGAACCTTCCGTTAGCAGGGATTAAGATTTAGGGTCCTGAATAGCAACTGACAAAAAAAAAAAAGAAATGCTATGCCTACTTCCTTCTCCATTCCCAAGGGTGAATACCCAGGGAGGTACTTATTTGTTCACCTTGGGTCAACTCTTCCCATTTTGAGCTCAGGAGCTGCAGGTTCTACATTTAGGCTGCTCTGATTGGCACTTCCATCATCCAGTGATGCATATTTACCAGTCATGAAACTTCACATTAAAAAAGTATAAACTGGCCTCCCGGGTGGCGCAGTGGTTGAGTGCTGGGTTGCGAAGCTGCCCGCAGCCTCTGCAGCTCCGGTTCGATCCCCGGCTGCTCCCGGGCCTCCGGAGGAGGGTCCCACATGGTGCGCAGACCTCTCCTGCCGCCCGCTGCTCCCCTCAGCAGTGTACTTCGGTCCTTCTGCCTGCTCTGCTCCCAGCTCTGGCTCTGGTGAATTCTCTCACCCTCCCCCACTTCTGACTGTACCTAGTGCTTGTATGTATCAATCAATCAATAAATAAATAAATCTTTTTTAAAAATTAAAAAATATATAAACTGGAATAGAATCAGATATAGCTGAATGAGATAGGCTTATTGCTTCAGTTTGTAGGAATTTTGAAAAATGTACCATTTAATGAATTCTTGATTTAGCTAATTTTGAACTGTGTTTGGGTCCTTGATTATTCAAAAGAATTCTACAATAGGGGTCAATTTGAAGACAAGTTTGTATGGGGTATTTTGTTCTAGGAATAATGTTTCCCCAATTTGATGCTTGCAATTTGTTATTTACACATAGATGTTGTTTCCCTTAGTTTTTTTTTTTTGTAACGTGGCACCAGATTTATTTAATACTACTTAAAGCAGATATTTTGTATTCTTATACATGCATGTGCACACAACACACGCACACTTTTTTTCACTTTTTTTTTTTGAGTGTGGGGATTCATTAGTAGCCTGTCCTCCACACTAATTTTCACTGTAAGCTGTCAAGAACTGGGACAATGACAGCCTCACTTGTCTCCCCAATGCCTGGGTGATATCAGGGACAAGGCCAGTGTTTGGTGAATGAATATTTGAATTAGTTAAATAATGTGGATATATTGCAAACTTTTCTGCAAATTAGAACCACAGGCAAAGTTTTTGTTTTTTGCCAAAAGAGAATTTCTTTACTTGTTTTTGAACACAATTAGACTACATTGGGTATTTGCTCTTGTGGACACATAAAGGAATTTTTAAGAAACTATTAGTATGTTCTCTATCCACTTTTTTTCTTTACCTACCATCATCCCTTGTTCCTTTCCTCCACCCCCTTAACCTCAGATCCCTCATGATATTCATTGATGTCCACTGCTTTTTGAAAGTGTTTTACGATATTCAATTGTTTACCATGTGAATGTCCAGCTTTTGTTTTTATTGTTCTGACTTGTTTTGCTATATATACTTTTCTCAGACTCCCTCCATTTGTTGAAAATGACTACATTTCATTCTTTCTTATGACTATATAGTATTCCATGGTGTGAATATATCACATCTTGATCCAGTCATCTCTGGATCGACACTGAAGCTGCTTCCATGTCCTAGCTATTGTAAATACTGCTGCTGTGAACATTGTGGAACATGCATTTTTGTGTTGATGGTTTCCTGTTCTATGGATATATGCCAAAGAGTGTGATTGCTAGGTTGTATGGTATTTCCATTTTTCAGTTTTTTAATGTAAATCCAGATTTCTTTCCAAAATGGTTGTACCAGCTTACATTCCCACTAACAGTGTAGCTGGGTTCCTTTTTCTCCACATCCTCGCCAACACTTGTTGGAAATCTGCTGAATATGTGCCATTCTCACAGATGTAAGATGGAATCTTATTGTGATTTAACCTGCATAATGAACATCTTTTCATATATTTTCTAACCTTCTGGATATCCTCTTTAGTGAATTGTTTCTTCATATCTGCTGCCCACTTGTTAGTTATTTTTTATTGTATTTTTTATATACCTTGGATATTAATCTCTTGATCAGTTATATATTCTGTGATTGTTTTCTCCCATTCAGTAGGGAGAATGTATATTTAATCATTTTGTATTTTCTTTCACCATATAGAAGCTCTTAAACTTGAGGTAATCTATGTTTATTTTTGTTTTTAATTTCCTTGTCATAAGGGTGGCGTCATCAAAAATATCTTTAATATTGATGTCATGGAACATATCACCAGTGCTGACTTCTGTGTATTTTATTTTTGCATATCCACTATCTAAATCTTTAATCCATTTGGAATTTATTTTCATGTATAGAGTTAGAGAGTGATGCAATTTCTTTCTTTTGTGTGTGCTCTTCTAGTTTTCCCAGCACCCCTTATTAAAGAGACTGTCCTTTTTATAGTCCTAGCTGCTTTATCATAGATTAGGTGCTGGTATGTGTGTGGATTTATTTCTGGGATTTCAATTAATCCTATTCCATTGATCTGTGTATCTATTTTTGTGCAATACCAAATAGTTGTTTTTTTTTTTTTAAATAAGTTTGCTTTATAGTAAAGTTTGAAAGCAGTTAACTTGATGCCTCCATTTCTCTCCTTTTTTCTTAAGGTTGCTTTTGCAATTCAAGGCTTTTGGTTGTTCCATATAAGTTTCAACATATTTTGTTTAACTTTGAAAAACATTGTTGGTATTTTCATGGGTATTGTGTTAAATTTATATGTTATTTTAGGCAGGATAGTCATTTTTTAAGATTTATTTAATTATGCATACAAGAATTGGGGTACAGGCCAGAGGTGTGGGGGGTGAGAGGACACACCAGAGAGAGAGTGGGGAACAGAACAGGTAGACTGACTGAAATACACTGCTGCGGGGAGCAGTGGCTTAGACACGAGAGGTCTGCTGAGCCATGTGGGTTGCTCCCTGGCTTACTGGGGATCAAACTCAAGCTACAGAGGCTCTGAATAGCTTCACAGTGCTGTGCTTAACCCCTTGCGCCACAGGGAGGCTCAGGATAGTCATTTTGATTATGTTGACTCTTTCTATTCATGAGCATGGAATATACTTCCATCTCCTTATGTTGCTATCTAAGTCCTAAGTTGGGCGTTTGCCTCCTTAGGTAACTTTTGAAGTATTTTATTCTTTTTGAAGCAATTATAAATGGAAATAATTTCTTAATTTCTTTTACTTCTTATTTGTATATAAAAAGGCTA